TGACACCATTGTTACTAGTTGATGTACTGATATATGTTTGTGATACATCACTTGGATACACTGTTGAAATAATGAACACATAAATTATAGGCATAACATCTACTGAATGTAAACCTGATGCTGCTGGCAATTGTGATGATTGTGATGGGTGTAATAGTAGTGCAATAGGATCACTGAAGGGACCACTTCCAGCAGAGTTTACAGCAGCTACACTGATGATATACACAGTATCTAATACTAGATCATTCAATATGATATATCTCTTAGTACTGGTGACGCTGTATGTGATACTACTGTTACTGATAATCACTGTATAGCCTGTAATTAGACCATTATGTTTAGAGCAATCAACCTCATTCCAAGTGAGATTATTAATTGGCTGTAATACAGACAAAGAAGTAGGTACACCAGTAGGAGCTATAAATATAATATTACATAATAGTTGAAGATTGTACCAAACCTGTTGGCATTGTATCTATTTTAACTGAACTAGGATCAGATCCTCCTAGTACATTACCAGCTCTCACTGTGATGGTATAGTTCATACCACTGTACAGACCTATTAATGTATAACTGTATGTTGTAGTGGACTGATGAGGAGCAACGGAGACTATCTCATTCACTGATGATAACTGGGGACAAGATGGAGTATAGGAGATGGTGTAGTATGTTACATAATTGTCCCTGCTGGGAATAGTCCAGTTCACTGTAATACCAGTGGTTGAGACATTAGATACTGAGAGACTAGTTACTGGACTAGGAACTAGAACAAATATCAGTTAAACTCTCTCAATGGTAATAACTCACCATCAAATTTTAATACTGTTACTGTACTATTAACTGAAGGAAGATCTATATATGAGTACACACTGATGGTATAGGTACTCGTTGATGAGAGATTTGTTAGTACAACTTCATTTTCACTGGTAAATAATGCACTCCTGCTTACTCTTCCAGTAGTATACTCAATCACATATCCATTAGCCTCTGATGAATTGGTCCAGTTCACTCTGATGCTAGTAGCTCCCAAGATAAATACTTTAACACTATTTGGAGGACCACTAGGAACTATAACAAATGAGATTAAGTTTTTATATTGATTTAAGTATAAACATACCTTGTAATATAACAAACTTACTGTAGTTGACTCCTCCAATCATTGCTATACAGGTAACATTAACTGACACTCCCAGTGGATCAGGATATACTAGTAGTGTGTTATTGTATGTCAGGACATCAATTGATGTATACATTGAGTTACTCTTCATCACTCCATTCACTGACCAGTAAACATTATTTGAAGGATTTATATCAGTAGTTGTGAGACAATCAATACGATATTGAGTGTTATTGAGTTGTGCAATGGATGAGATTAGTGTCCAATTGATTGAATTATTAACTAGAATCAGCAATGTTATGAGTACAAAAAAAGGTTCATAGTAGTAATACCTGGTAAGGTCTGTACACTGATTGCACTACTAGCAGGTCCCAGTAATTGTTGATAGGCTCTGACTGTGATGTTATAAGTTGCTTTTACTCTCAGTCCATTCAGTGTGATTGTATTATTACTACTTCCCTCCACCTGCACTGTTTGCACAGTGTCTGTGTCACTAGTGACATTGACTACATATCCATCAGCATCAGATGAATCAAGTGCAGTCCAACTGACAGTGATAGTGGTAACAGTCTTGTTGACCTCAGTAAGAGAAGAGGGAGCAGTTGCTGGAACTAAATGTATAAGAAAGTTGATATGATTTAACATGAATGTACCTTTAATGTCTATATTTCGTGTCCTAGTTAATTGATCAGTAACTTCCACTTTACACTGATACATTTGATCTCCAGTGGCTGATTGACTGATTGATCCACTACTGACAGTCACTCCATCCCATGTGATATTAACAGTATATTTTATTGTGTACATATTATTATCTATCACAGTACTAGGACAAGATGTACTATCATTTCGATCATCACAATTGATATAACTAGCCAGTGGAGTATTACCAACTTTCAAGCTAATGTTATACTGATAGTATCCAATTTTAACACAATTCAGTTTGTATTCTTGAGGATGTACTGTCATATCAGAAGGAAGGTTAGCTGTGCTAAATGATTCAATCTCTGCATATCCTACAAAAGAAATTCTTACTTAGTATTTATAATCACACAGTCCTTACTGAATATGTTAGCAAAGATGATGTTAGTAGCAGTATTGCAATCAGTTGGTAGACAACACTTGTAAAATCCTTCTTGATCTGCTGGAAGAGTCTGATTAGGAGAAAGATAAATACTGATACTGGCATCGGGTGAAGTGACTTCAGTACAGTTAAAAGGATCATTGTTATTACAGTCTACAGGATCATCAAGATCATTAACTCCAACCCATTGACCAGTAGATAGACTAGTACCAGGTAACACACATGATATAGAATCAGTAACTGAATTGACTCTATTATCCCAAAAATACGATCCATTAGGAAAACAATTTCCATTATATGCTAAATAGATATCTAAATTTCAATGCTTAATTGTAATAATTGATACTATAAATAAAATACTTTCATGCTGACAATGAGTGAATACCCTGATTGTACTACTAGCAGGCCCCAGTAATTGTTGATAGGCTCTGACTGTGATGCTATAAGTTGTTAGTTCTCTCAGTCCATTCAGTGTGATTGTATTATTACTACTTCCTTCCACCTGTACTGTTTGGACAGTGTCTGTGTCACTAGTGACATTGACTACATATCCATCAGCATCAGATGAATCAAGTGCAGTCCAATTGACAGTGATAGTGGTAGCTGTCTTGTTGACCTCAGTAAGAGAAGAGGGAGCAGTTGATGGAACTAATAGAGATTACTTATTGGCAACAAGTATTATTAATATTACCTTTTATGGTTAAAGTACGTGTCCTATCATCACCACCACTAGGATTATCCAGTACACACTGATACATTTGATCTCCAGTGGTTGATTGACTGATTAATCCACTACTGACTGTCATTCCATCCCATGTGATAGTAACAAGTATAACTTACTGTGTTGTTACTACTAGCTAATATAGTACCAGGACAATTACTATTTTGATCATCACAATTAGTGTAATCCACCAGTGCAGTACTACCAATCCTCATACTGATACCATACTGATAGTGTCCAATTTTAATACAGTTCAGTTTGTATTCCTGAGGATATACTGTCATATCAGAAAAAAGATCAACAACAGTAAATGATTCTATCTCTGAAAATCCTACAAATGAAAATTATTACATCAGTAAGTGATTATAATCTCATTTTACTGAATATATTAGCAAAGATGATGTTAGTGCTAGGATCTGAACAATCAGTGGGTAGACAACACTTGTACCAGCCTTCTTGAGCTGCTGGTAGTCCCTGAGCAAGATAAAAATTGATAGTAGCAGGTGAAGTGACATTAGTACAACGAAAAGGATCACTGGCACTATTACTGTCACAGTCAACAGGATCATCAGGATCAGCAACTCTAACCCACTGACCAGTAGTTAGACTTGTACCAGGTAACACACATGATATAGCTTTAGTAACTGCATTGACTCTGCTATCCCAAAGATAGGATCCATTAGGAAAACAATTTCCATTATATGTTAAATAAATATCTAAATTTCAATCCTTAATAGTAATAATTGATATTATAAATAAAATACCTTCTTCCTGACAATGAGTGAATACCCTGGTTGTACTACTAGTAGGTCCCAGTAATTGTTGATAGGCTCTGCCTGTGATGCTGTAAGTTGTTCCTCCTCTCAGTCCATTTAGTGTGATTGTATTATTACTACTTCCCTCCACCTGTATTGTCTGCACAGTGTCTGTGTCACTAGTGACATTGACTACATATCCATCAGCATCAGATGAATCAAGTGCAGTCCAATTGACAGTGATAGTGGTAGCTGTCTTGTTGACCTCAGTGAGAGAAGAGGGAGAAGCTGATGGAACTACCATAAAGAGATAATATTGGTAACAGTAAGCATAAACTTTACCTTTTACAGTTACACTACGTGTTCTAGTAGGTTGATCAAAAACTTCTACTTTACACTGATACATTTGATCTCCAGTAGTTGATTGACTGATTGATCCACTACTGACAGTCATTCCATCCCATGTGATATCAACATTATATCTTATTGTGTTGGTACTGCTATCTAACACAGTACCAGAACAAGAATTACTAGGATCATAACAATTAGTGTAACTAGCCAGTGCAGTACTACCAATTCTTATATTAATACTATAAGAATGGTATCCAATTTTAACACAATTCAGTTTGTATTTTTGAGGATATACTGTCATATCAGAAGGAAGCTCAGCAGTAAATGATTCTATCTGTGCAAAATCTACAATTGAAAATTATTACATCAATGAGTGATTATAGGTAGTCTCTCTTACTGAATATATTAGCAAAGATGATGTTAGTGCTAGGATCTGAACAATCAGTGGGTAGACAACACTTGTACCAGCCATCACCAGGTGGTTGAAGAAAGCCATTAGCTGGATTTATGTGAATACTAAGACTAGCACCTGACCCAACAGTACATTGAACATTTTGATTGTTACCACCATCACAAGGAACTACTCCATTAGGACCAATCCATTGTCCACCATTAAGAGTAGCACCAGGTAATACACACTCTAGAGGACTTGGTCTGATAAGATTATCTGAAAAATATGATCCATTAGTATGACAGTTTCCATTATGCCTCAGGTAAATACCTATAAAAACCTATACAGTTGTTATTATACACATCCAGTGTCTTACCTGAGGAAGGTGGACATTGACTAATAACTTTACTGACACTCAACAAGAATACAACCACTAGTACTGACACTGTCATCTTGTCTATAAGCTGATGCGAGTTTTTTGGTTCTCTTCAATTCACTTACCATTAAATAAGGTAAATCCTGCATAAATGAAAATAAATATACAAAGTATGTTGTAATGCCAAAGTAGATTATACAAAACAAAAAAATAAACACATCAGGCAAGAAACTTGTTAGCATAATAGAACAATGTATTGCAGCTATTGCTAGGAAGTGTTTGTGTACTTAAGTAATGATTTTACATTAAGACAGAACATTTGTTATTTGAATATAATGGGAACATAATAGCAAGAGGCTGCTACATACTTCTTTCTTATTCTCTTTGGCTTTGGGAGTATGTGATCAAAATACTTTTTATATGGCAAATTCATATCAACCATGCAATGTCATAATAATAAAGCATATAATTATAAATATTAGCTTAGTCATTAAAACAGCTATTGTTAGTTAATGAGTGTATGTTTAAGTCATCATGAAAATCTAAAAAGGGATTTAGCAATATATGTTTCCACATGGTATCTATTGCTTTAAATGATTCAGTGTTGTCATACAACTCCAGCTATCTATTGTAGCTTGTTTTCATCAGCTCACTTCTTTTTTATGTTGTAATAGACACAAAGTCAGTTATATTACATTGACATCACAAGTGGATGCCTGCAAACCAAAGGATTAATACATGGAAATTAAAAATCTATGTCTACAGCCTTGACAGGAACAGGGGCAGGTGTTCAAGCTGAATTATTTTGGAAATTGAAATACGCTATCAAAATTTGACAGACAGATAGAATGATTTGAACATACGTACATAATAATCAATAAGAATAGAAGTAATTTTAGCACAGTTTACAAGTCAACTCAATAATAAAATTCCAGCTAAGGGAAATAATAACTAATAGGTAGTTAGAGAAAGTTTAACATCAGAGCAAAGGGGGGGAGCTCCACTCAGTTTTATTCCAACAGTTAAAAATAACCTGAGAGTTACCTTTGATAATGATAATATCAAGCCGGCTATGTAGAGAATGACAACTTAGGTGGCTCAGATATTATTGAGTTGACTGAGCTCGACGAGAAATCAGAAATTACCCAAAGAGCCAATCTCAACTATTTCCAATATAGCAGTATATCTTCTTGTCTCAAGATCTCCTAACATTGAGATGTAATTCTCCTAAATTTGTTTTCAGTCTCTAGGATTCTGTAACCCCCTCTTAGTGTTGATAATGGGCAACTCTGGTGGAGTAATGGCATCATCTTCCAAAACGACAATATCAGGTCTAGCTAATATTCACTGTAAAGTTGGCCTAAGGTAGATCTACCCAAAAAAATGGCCCACTCTCTGGAGAAAGCTGGCAATCGTACATCCCCTGAAAAAGGTGAAGTAGCTCTGGGAGGGCATGCATTCGGGAAGGTCATAAATTCTGGGAGGTCCTGAGACTCAGTGTCTATATACATGAAACAAGGTATATTATCAAGGCATATAACAAGCTAGGTGAATGATTATCTATAAAGGTATTAGTGTGGCCCAGTATGGTAGTAAAGGATCAATTAGTTTATGTGACACTTACAATAGATGCCTATTACATACATACATACCATAGTTTGTCTGTTGCCCCATGAGTTTTAATTAATTGTTTCCTGTCAATGACTCTTTTATAAGGTCACAAAATGTATGTCCATACTGCTGCTATAAACTGACATTGTTTAATGTTTTTGTATAAATTCCTACCCACATACAGTTGTACTTGTATACTTGTTATTATGCATCTTCCTATGCACATTCACCTTGCATGTTAGGTGGTAAAGGGTTGAGTGAATTAATAGGCAGTTACATAAAAATGGTTGAGGATATGTGAACATCTAGCTGGCAGATACAACAGGAACATAAAAATTATAATGATGAAATGGGTAGAGTATAAATGAGTTACAAGGTTTCATACAGGGGAGAATTGTTCACTCTAACCATTGATCATGACACACAGCAGTATTACTAATAAAAAACAGACAGACATTAGAGAGCAGAGTAAAAGAACAAACTAAAAGTTGGGTGGTGATGAGATATTAGATACTGTAGCTCTACCTGCCCTACATGTAAGATTTCCCTTTTGATAATAGTAGTGTGGATCTGCATCATTTCCTGCATTGCCTTGTTATGGTGTTGAGTGCTAGCACTTAGTGAGGAAGTACATCTAGTATAATAGTAGTCTCACAAGCCAGATCATTCCCTAGCCTAAGGGAATGGTCTGGCTTGTGAGACTACATATAGTAGTAATAGAAGTGGTAGGAACATGAGTATTAAATAGTGCTTTATAACTGGTGGCAGTGAAAATTAATGTAATTATTGATGCTCTAAAGCTGACTTACAACAATTTGAACACTACACAGTATATACAGTAATCAAAATATCTTTAATGTTAAAAAGTAATTAATAGTATTATTTACATGTATTTCCAAATCATTTAATGACTATTTGTGACACAATTAAATGTTTTACAAAGTTAATCTAAAGTCTTGAGGCGCTTGGAATCACTAAACGATACGGTACAATCTTTAAATGTAACAAAACTAACTTACAACTCTGTTTTACTTGACTTTCTTTTTTGAAGAATCTAAAAAATAAAGTTAATCATTACAAGCCAACAAATACATGTACATACATGTAATGTATATCCTTAAAATTGATAAGCTTTGTATGTAGGCTATATTGATAATTCTTAATAATTTAGTTCAAAATTAATGACTTTCTAATAGCTGAAATTCACACGCATCAACAATAGTGTGATAAATGTACAGGCAATGAGTCAACAGGTCTTAACTCTTCCAATATTAGTTACTTTAATTAAATGACAAATGCCTTAAATATTTTAAAAAGTAACTATGCAATTTGCTCATCACCAATCTACTTTATCTATGGTAGTAATGGGTACATTATTTTCTTATTACGTGTATAATGGTGAATGGGACGACCAATATACCTTTTTGTTGTATACTCTATTCACACACTGACCTGACTGATCTGCTGCCATTCTCTGTCCAGTTTAGCTTTCTCATTCTTGACACCTTGTCTACGAGTCTTACGACCGTCATCCATTTTAACGCGATACTAGAAAGCAGCTCTTTAATATAATATAATCATTAATGACAGTTTATGCTGGGCATACTTTGGTAGTGCTTCCCTTGATGACTGATAGTTTCCATACAATTACCCTATTAATAGATGATATGATGTACATGTACATTGTTAATATAATATTATTATTAATTATCACAATGGTCATTAGCATTTTCTTTGCCAAATGTATGACTCAAACATACATCTTCATAGCCCATATGATACCAAAAAGCCAAAACAAGTTTTTTGCACTTTCTGATACTTATAGTCCTATGCAATGTGTACATGTACATGAATGCTCTAGTGAAAGTTTAAGCAAATCCTAAAAACAGTCAACAGACAGGGTTTCACACAGGTTCTTGGCATTGTGCTCAGCATCTTCAAATAGTGGATTATTAAATTTTTCCGAATCTCAACAAAAAACCATGTGTACAGGGTACATATACATTGTATTTGGCCAAATTTCATCAAAAATGAAATGGAGAGAATTCTCCATTTTTATAATTTTTAATGATGCACATGACATACGATTACTCATGTTGCGTAAAAAGTTTGACATGATTCCGATCAAAATTGATTTTTTTCCCAAAATTTTTAAAGTTACCCAAAAAATTGGACAAAAGTCCCTGTACTATAGTACAGGGTATTTGGTCAAATTTCATCAAAAATAAAAAGGAGAGAATTTTCTATTTTTATAAATTTTCCTGATACATATACATGTACTCATGTTGCATAGAAAGTTTCCCATGATTCTGAGCAAAATTAATTTTTTACAAACTTTAAAAGTTATTCCAAAAGCCATGTACATGTACCATGTTGTTTAGCTCCCTTAGCATGCTTTCTGGGAAACTCACACAACAGATTCCTAAGTTATAACTTCACTATGAGCAGTTTTCAAGTATACAAAATGCAAAGGTAACCCTTTGAATACTAACAGGAGGATGATTGTGTTCATGTAAATCACTGTACACGACTAAATGTACATGTATGTGTGTATGTGCTTACCACGTCCATTTTAGAGAAGTCAATTTCATCATCACTATTGACAGTTGCATCCACTTCTTCCATACCACTACAAATAATAAAAAAACATTATAACTTACATGCACATGCACATACATGTACATGTCACATTCTAAACTATACCGGCATGCAATCTCAATGTACATTCATCAAGCACAACTTTTCACAGAAAAGTAATAGCACTTCTAATAATGATGAGTATGTAGGTTAAATGTACATGTACAAAAGTTTAAGTGAATGATTGAACATACAAAATAAATTAATATTGTGATTAGATTAATGTTAATATTAAGGACTGACCCAGGATAGCATTCAGCATAATGATCTTGATCTAAACCACCAAATCCAACGTCATCAGTTTTTGCTTTCTTCATAAAAACTGGCTCTGTTGCTTTGGTACTGGAGCTTCTAGCATTGTGGATAAAAGAATAAGATCATACTTATTTGGTTATAATTAAATAAAATTTAGTGTAGCATGTAAACCAAGTGCACATGTACTTGCAAATGAGTTTCAATATTCACATGTACAGTCATGTATCTTCCATTTACAAAAATTCTCATTATTCGAGGAGGCATAATTACAATATACAGTATAATAACTATTGCCATTTACCGTGTTCTATCTTCTTCTCCTGCAGACCAACCAGAAGGTAGTGGACCATCAGAATGAGCCCTCTCACCCTAAGAACAATAAAGTAACACATGTATCACATAGCTGAAAATTTTTGTGACACAAAATGTTTCTTAATTTAGCAAATTTCAAGAAATCCCTAATAGGCCACAGAAATTTCTAGGTACATGTACATGACAGTATAGTTAGGATCTCCCCTCACTTGAATGGACGAAGAATCAGCATACTTTTCCCCTACAGCCTTGACAAAATCTTTAGTAGCTTTCTTAATGTCCTGATTAAAAGAAGTACATGTACATGCATGTACATGCAAGACACAGGCCATCACTGGAGTACTTCATAATCTTGTGTGGGTTCACTTTTAGTGAATAACTGTTGATCTCTCTTTGATAAATTAGACAGAAATGCAGATGCATCAAAATTGTATTCACCCATATCAGGAAATATACTAAAATTAAAAATAAAATACAATCCTCAATAGCTAATGACTATATAAATACATGTATATATGCATGTACATGTAAATGTTACATATTACAGCAAAAAAGAGCTTTAAAGTTGTTGTATAGTACATGAAGTAACATGTGCAATAGTAATAATAGTAACTGAAAACAGATTAATACATTCATCAGAATTAAGGTATTTAGGTAAAGTGAAGTACAAGTACATGTATATTTGGCTGTAGATTATATAATAATTATATTGAAGAAAGTTTTCCAATACTGCACAGCTATTTGTACATGTATAGCATGTACATGTACTTAATAGTGAGTGACAAACCTCTCTTCCTTTTGTACAGCTGGTTTCTTAGAGCTGATAATTCACTCATTTCAATTTGTACCTGTGATAAAATAATAAAATAAAAAATTAGTATATATGTAATACAAATCACAGTAATTTCTATCATACCTGTTTTGGAGCAAATAATTTTTGCAATGAAATTTTAGACACTAAACAGAAAAAATTAAGCCAAGTTAACTATTTGAAATTATGCTATAATCATTGTAACTCTAAAACATGTACAATATGTTTTTCAGGGGCCATAATCATGTAGTCATTGCAATATAATTGTGCTATATTTATGAACAAATGTAAACACAATTTTTATTATTAAATGTAAACTGTACGCACCTTTCTCCTTCTTTTTCATCTTCCTTGACCCTTACTTTGTCTCAAGTAAGACAGGACTTGTGTCAATTTATTGATAACAATGTCATTTGTTGTTAATGTAGCCTGACACTAATAATAATGAGATATATAAATAGCAACATTAATGCGTACATCTAAAATGTACAGGTATATTCTAGGATTACAACAATACATGTACATGTATTGCATATTAAGTGCCTAATATACTATCGATGCACGATTTATTCAAAAAGCTACAATTTAAAAGTTTACAAATAAGTACATTTTCATAAAAATAATTCCTGATACATGCACAGTGATTCACTGCATGACTCACTCCACCCACAAAAAGTATTTGTATGCTACAAAATTGACTAGTATGTCTACACATGTACAGTACATAAATACAATGTAACCTTTACCTCTAACATTGGGCAATCAGCTTACTTCTTATTAAAGTGGTAGGAATATCACTCTCCTCATATATTAATCATCTAATTCAAACACATATGCCTAACAATATTAATAAAATATAAATAGGCTATAATCATATATTTAAAATAAATATAAATAATCTTGGGAATATCTAGAAATTACTATCTTAAGAAGAATTTTAAATTCGTGTACATGTACATCTAGCGACTATAAAGAAGGTAAAGTGACCTTTACATCAAAGGCCTATAATAAGATTCATTAGATGCAATGTAACCTTTTCTTGTTGAAAGTGTTGACAGCCAACCACAAGCCATACCAGACTACTTACAAGTGCTCACAGCTGCATATAAGCAATTAGCAAGTTCTTATAGCTTTCTAGAAGTGACATACCCAAATAACAGAGTTAAAACTCGACAACCCCCACATCTTGGCCCATAAATCAGCTAGGTTGGAGCTACATGCCCTACATGTAGGTGTACATGTAAGTCTTTGTGAGAAGAAATATAATGCCAGCTACAGTACATGCATCAGAAATCAAAATAATAATTCAAACACGAACATGCATGTAAGACTGTTTCCGCAAATACGTAAATCCCTCATTTCATAGGCTGATTAAAACAGGCAATGTACACGTACATGCATATTAAATCACGATCGAATCACCAATGACTGTTAAAAATCGGAAACAACGAATCCAATGGGAATGCTAGCAGACATTACACTGAAGAGTTGCATTTATAATCTAACTTTCGAAATATCAACAGTATATACATGTACATGGGTAGCTAAAATTATGCAACTCTTTCCTTAAACGTAACATTGATGACACTATCCCACTACACGAGGCTGTCCTTCCACAGTACATGTACATGCCCTGATCACAAACACTCAAGTATAATGTAACATATGCTGGGTTGAAATTACGCAGTGTAAATGTATATGTTCATGTACCATAGGCTAAGAATGTAATAGGTAAATTATCACTAAAAGAACATTGCTAAACGCACAAAATCAGCACTCGCCCGCCACAACCGGACATGAAGAGTTTAATAGAGTCGCATACATGTCGACTCTAATACCCATGCACACGTGCGTCTTACGATAAATCATTACAATGCTAGATTCTAACCTCCTCCTTCTTGGTTCGAACTTATTAGCTTTTGATGCATTACTATAACACAAAAAT